GAATAAGTGGGATTTTAAAATAATAACCACCTATCTGGACTCTAGATTAAAATCTGTGACCTAAAAAAAATTTAATGCATTATGATGATTGAAAAAGGGGACACTCTTTATCTGTGACAGCACAGATAAAGATTAGTGATGACCAACAAGGTGAAAAGATAAAGGACAATGTGTTAATGGAGTCACAAAACCTAGGTTCTAGATCCTATTCTGCTACTCACTATCCACAGAATTTGTTTTTTATTTATATATAATTTTGGGGGGGGCATACAATTGTATCAGTTTAACATATGCAACTACCACCACAACCAGACATAAAACAGTTTCATCATCCCCAAAGATTCTCCTGTGTTGCCCCTTTGAAGTCAAACACCTCCCCGCTGATCCATTCTGTAACTTGTGGTTTTGCCTCTTCCTTCATCTATACTTAATCTCTGAGTTTTATTTCTACACCCATAAAATTATTTCTATTTCTATTTATGTAAACATATATTATCTGTATATATAGATATGCCATCTTCTTTATATATTATTTAAAATTATATTTATTTATATTTATTTACATATAAAGATATGCCATCTTTATATTAACATATTCAATTTTTTATGATAATCATTTGTCTGCTGTGGCTAAAAACCCTGATATAAGACAAGTGACTCTTCTATGGCTTATATTTAGACAAAGCTTTCTTTAAGTTTGTGGCTAATGACCAATTTTTACAATTCTGCATCTTAAAATTTCAGCCTTCTCCACAAGGGTGGCTCCACCTTAGATTTCTGCATGCTATGTGGCTGGTGAGCCTGTAATTCTCTTCAATCCTACAAAGCTCTGAGCTCCAGAGTGGTCCCTAACCTCACCTTGCAGTTGTCAATCCCTGTTTTACCACACTGCAGAAGGCGGAGAGCCAACTAGAGCCAACTGCAGTTTTCATTTCAACAGTCTTTGCTAAAGGGGAACAGGCGGCGGGGGAGCATCCAAGCTTGTTCTAGTACCATGCTATTTACGAGCATAGCTTGTCACTGGATGTCTAAAGGCAATACTGATGACACTATTAGGTAAACACGTCAGCTAGAGTAGCCTCACTCCCACCTAGATAGATGAAGCTCACTGCCTTGGCTCATAGGGTTGCCACACCAGTAAATCACAAGAATTCTATATATATAGCCTTATATAAATTTTAACAAGTGCAACTGACAAAATCATTCATAATTCTCTTATAGTATAACAAATCAGATATAACTACACTTCTTTGACTAACTGGATCTAAAAGTATTATTTAATTAGCTAATTAATTAAGATCTCCCTAAAGTTAAATGGCATCTCCCTAAAAGCAAGATACTACAGGGGTCTCAACTTGGTCCTACTTTATTTACACATTTTCATTAATGAATGGCTAAAGACATAGAAGTATGATTACCAAGTTTATAAATGTCATAGCAGAAATAGCTAAAAATAATTTGTTAAAATCATATTTCAAAAAGATATCAACATAAATCAGTTCAATGGAATAAGGTAGACAAACTAATACGCTGAAATGTAATAGGAAGAAAAATCAACTACACAAAGAATGGGAGAGACCTAGTTTCACAGCAGTTCAAACAGTAGAATACGGGTGAATTAGAAGATTACAAATTCAGTATGTCATCAATGTGACATGCTTATTTAAAACAAAACAACAGATTTTATGTTGCTCTTTTCAGTTTCACGGATAAAGTCCATATTACCAACTTTAATGATCAATTCTCCACCTCATTTTCAGCTCCTAGCAGCATGTTAACAAGGGTGATCAGCCCTCCTTTTTGTACCACTTTCCCTTTCCTGGCTTTACATTCTCTTGGTTCTTTTCCTGCCACAGTAACTGCCTTTTCCAGCTTCCTTTAAGTGTCTCCCAAATTTCTATTTTCAGTGCAGACCTTTCCATTGAAATCCAAACACTTATATGCATCTGCCTCGCCATTACAGAAACCCCTACTTTGACCTCCCAACCCAAATCTGCTTCTCCTGCAGTCTTCACCATCTGTCCTTCCAACTACCCAGGCCAAAGCCTTCAGTCATATCCCTCCATACCACTCCTCCACATGCACTACATTTATTCCATCAGTAAATCCTTTTGGCTCTGTCTACAAAATATATCCATAGTTTGACCACGCTAACCACATTCTCTGCTCCATCGGCTCCCCTCAGGATGGCTGCAATCATCTCCTACGTGGTCTCCTTACTTCCAACCTTGAAACCCCATCCCCACAGTCTATTCTCAATGCTGTAGCAAGAGAAATCCTTTGAAAATAATGCATTTATTCAACACTCATTCAAAGACTATTTACTGAAATCCATCTTGTGAAATCCACTGTTGTAGGTGCTTAGAATATATCTGTGAATAGAAGAAATAAAACTCAGTGCCCTCACAGAGCTTTTGCATCCTGGAAAGGAACACAAAATAAAACAATAAATAAAACAATAAAACAATAAATAAATAAATTATATGCTGGATTTCCATAAGTGCCACAGGAAAAAAAAATAGAGCAGATAAGGAAAGCAGTACCAAAAAACAGGGAAGGGTTATGGATTCAAATAAGGGGATAAGTCGAGGCTTCATTGCCAAAGTAACTTTTTGGGAAAGACTTGATGGAAGTAAGGACTCAGCCTTACAGATATCTAGTGGAAGACCATGCCAGGCAAAAGATGTTAACAATAAGAATGCATAAAATATTATTTTTGATTGACTGGCAGCTGGCCACATGATGACCTGAATAATATAAGATTTTAAATTTATTTTTATGTAAATATTACTTGTATTTTACTTTTTTCATTGTACTTTCCATTACAGTTTATCCCCTTCATATCCCCTCGCCCAGCAATCACCACACTGTTGTCCATGTCCATGAGTCCTTTTTCCTCTTTGCTCAGTCCCTCCACCCCCTCACCTCCCAACCCCCAACTGTCATCCTGCTCTCCATCTATGAGTCTGTCCCCATTTTCCTTGTTAGTTCAGTTTTCTCATTAGATTCCACATGAGTGAAATCATATGGTAGTGCTTTTCTCTGACTGGCTTATTTCACTTAGCTTAATGTTCTCTAGGTACATCCATACTGTCACAAAGGGTGAAATTTTCTTCTTTTTTATAGCCAAGTGGTACTGCATTGTGTAAATATCTCATAGTTGCTTTATCCACTCATCTATTGATGGACACTTGGGCTACTTACATCTTGGCAATTATAAATTACACTGCAATGAACATAGGGGTGCTTATGTTCTTTAGAATTAATGTTTTGGGTTTCTTTAAATATATTCCCAGAAGTGGGATCACTGGGTCAAAAGGCAGGCCCATTTTTAATTTTTTGAGGTATCTCCATACTGCTTTCCACAGTGGCTGCACCAGTCTGCATTTTCACCCAGTGAAAAACCGTTTCCCTTTCTCCACATCCGTGTCATCATTTGCTATTTGTTGATTTATTGATGATGGCCATTCTGACAGGTGTGAGATGGTATCTCATTTGGTTTTAGTTTGCATTTCCTTGATGATTAGTGATATTGAACATCTTTTCATAGGTCTCTTGACAATCTATATGTCCTCTTTGGAGAAGTGTCTATTCAGGTCCATTTTTTAGTTGGATTATTTATTTTTTCTGATGTTGAGTTTTATAAGTTCTTTTTTTTTAAGATTTTATTTATTTATTTTTAGAGAGGGAAGAGAGGGAGATAGATAGAGAGAGAGAGACATCAATGTGTGGTTGCTGGGGTTTATGGCCTGCAACCCAGGCATGTACCCTGGCTGGGAATCAAACCTGGGACACTTTGGCTCCCAGCCCGTGCTCAATCCACTGAGTTACGCCAGCCAGGGCTTAAGTTTTATAAGTTCTTTATAAGTCTGGATATTAACTCCCTCTCAGATGTATTGGAAAATATATTCTCCTATTCTGTGGGTTGTCTTTTTATTGTGTTGATGGTTTCTTTTGCTATGCAAAATGATTTTAGTTTGATGTAGTCCATTTGCTTATTTTTTCTTTTATTTCCCTTGCCTGAGGAGATATATCAGAAAAAAATATTGCTACAAGCAATGTCCAAGATTTTACTGCCTGTGTTTTCTTTTAGAATTTTTATGGTTTTGGGTCTAACATTTAAGTGTTTCGTCCATTTTGAATTTATTCTTGTGTGTGGCATAAGAAGGTGGTCTAGTTTCATTTTTCTGCACGTATCTGTCCAATTTTCCCAACACCATTTATTGAATAAACTATCTTTTGCCCATTGTATGTGCTTGCTTCCCCTGTCTATAAAGGTGTGGGTTTATTTCTGGGCTCTCTATTCTGTGCCATTGATCTATGTGTCTGTTTTTATGCCAGTATCATGCTGGTTTGATTATTATGGCCTTCTAGTATAGTTTCATATTAGGTAGTGTGATTCTTCCAACTTTGTTCTTCTCAAGATCACTGTTGCTGTGTGGGGTTTTTTGTGGTCCCATATAAGTTTTTGAAATATTTGGTCTAGTTCTGTGAAATACATCATTGGTATCTTGACAGGGAGATTTTAAACATTTTTTTGTAAATATTACTTGTATTTTACTTCTTAAATAATTTCCTAATAAAACCACAAGTGTGTTTTAGAAATAATTAATGAAGTATTAGAAACTACTTAAGGAAGTGAGCTTTAAGCCTTTTTTCTAAAATGTAATTAGGAGGTTTGCCTTCCATTTCATTGAGCTTCTTTTATGTCTCATAAAAAGCAGTTAGGAAGGCCTGCAATTTTTGCTATATAGGTAGGACTAATACTCAGAAAAAGAGCAAGTGCATCAAACACAGCAGATCACCTGGATCTAGCTTGCAAGGAATATAAACATTTTTCAAATACAAATACTGACTGGTTTTTCAGATTAAGTCAATTTTAAAACTAATGGTAAGCAAAGTCATCAGATCTGTTAACACAATAAAATGAGTACAAAGTTATGGATTTTTAAAAGTTTGTTAGTTCCCACCTAATTGGATGAGATTAGCACAACGATTACCTTCCGGTGGCCTGTTAGATGTTGCCACAACGACGACCCCATTTTTGAACAGATTTTCAAAAAGCTGTTTCAGAATCATGGCATCAGCAATGTCAGTGACCTACGGACAACAACACATTTGTTTTATTTTAATTTCACTTCTGTTCTAACAAATTTGCTAATGGCTCTTTTTTTTTTTAAGAATGTAAGTGAATTCCAAGAGAAAAATTCTAATTATCATCATGAACAAAAGAGCAGATAATTAAAAGCACAAAAAAGTAGTAGTTTTTTTAAACTTTACTCTGCTTTTTTGCAAGCCTATCATTTCTACAAAATTATCAAATGGTTCTTTATTAACTTCTTTTATAAACTACAGGTGGAAAGCATACATAATTGTCCTAAACATTTATGAAGTTTAATTAATTAGAACATGACCAACTCTTTCCTCCTACTCCCATCAAAACCCACCTCCTCAAAAAAGAGAGAGAGAGAAAATACACAGACTGTAAGAGATTCCTAATACCTTTTTGGTAAAGGTCTCTCAAAAGGTGACTTTAAATGGTCATGGAACTTTAGAAATAAGGACAAGTAGCCAGTGAGACATAATCAGCTGCTGTTGAAAATAGAATGATATGACATAGATACTATTGTGCAATTGTTGCACAAAACAATTCAACAGATGGCCCATCACAAAAATAAGCAATTTCATTGTTCTTTTTAAGTGCCTTCTATTACTGTCCATGAATAATTAAAAGGCACTGCAGTCACTTCCAGCACAGCCAGCCTCTCCTAACCTTTGTAAACACAAATATTCCTTCTACAAAAAATAAAAATAAATAAAAAATAACAACTTACAAGAATGGTTAACACAGTACTTTAAAAAAAAAAACAACTTCTAGCCCTGGCCTGGGTACTCTGTTGGTTAGAGCATCAGATACTACCCCAAGGTTGTGGGTTTGATCCCGGTCAGGGTACATGCAAAAATCAACCAATGAATGCATAAATAACCAGAACAACTATCTCTTTCTCTCTCTCTCACTCCTTCCCTCCTTCTCTCCCTCTCTCTAAAATCAATAAACAAAAATTTTTTTAAATCTTTTGACAAAATGAGAAATGCAGATAAAACCATTTAAAGTACAGAGATACATAACTATTGATCTTTTCTAAAATTATTTTTTTAAATGCACAATTAACAAATAAACTTCATGATTACTTTTTAAAAATCACAATGAAATACAGAAATTAAGGAGGGAAGTAAGTTGACTGAAAAAATAAATGTATAGTGAAGATTGAATTAATCATCATACCCTCCGTTATGAATATAACAAGGGTTTTAGATATTCTCAATGTAGAAATGTTTTGATCTTTCTTTAATAATACATTTTAAATTTTAGATAATCTCAATATATTCATAAAATATGTCACACAATATATATCACAATGTTATTTTTAAATCAAGTTAGAGTACATAGAAACTACTAGAATTTTTTCAAATTAGATCAAAATACTGTAAGTTACCAACCAGCTGGTTCTACCACAACTAACAACGACAACCTGGATGGGACAGGTCTCAGTCACTTTCTCTTTACAGCCGATATCTAACTCAAAAGTTTAATTATTTCCTTCCCATTTGAATAAAACAAAACATGACCAGGATATGGGAATATGCAGATTGTTTTTTCTGTCTCAAGCTAAAACTTTAAAACATAAACTAAAAACCTACTGAAGGTTCTTATATTAAAAAGACTTCAGGAACTTACGAAGTAGTGATTAAAATGAAAAGGAAATTAGTACTGATATTAATTAATTTGGAGCTTAGGATCACTGTCAAATTTTGCTTCCGCAAAAAAACACTCACAGAGGAGGCCCTTTTCAGATGCCTAAACACCAGCGGAATTTCTGATGAGAGGACAGAACAAGCTTGCAAATTTTAGAAGCAACTACACTTGTAAATTGGATTCCCAATACACTGACTTTAAAAAAAAAGGTATCATTTAAAAGTCACCAAATTTTAGAGACTAAAAATGGTCATTTGACTATTTCACTGATGTTTTTGAAAAAATTTAAAATAAGCATTTGTGCCCTAAGATTCAGAAAACTAAAGGGACATTTAGCATATAACACAGTGCAAAGGTTTAAAGAGAAAGTTGGAGAAAGCAAATAATAAAGACTCGTGGTTAAATTATCATTTGTTGTTTCTGTATTACAGAGTGCTTTTGCTCTGTAAGAGTAAATTAACTCGGAGAAGCTGTGGCTAATTAATAAAGCAGGAGTCACTTGGCGAAGCGGGTGCCAATGTATACTCTTTTGATCTTGTCCCCGCACTTGTTCAGCTTTGCTGGGGAACAGTAATTTTACAGTATAAGTGAACAGAAGACAACTGGCCACACATTCTTGAGGAGCAGGCTTTTCAGCACCCAGCATTTCATTACCACCAGGAACAAAAGAGAAGGCTACAGATTACCAATAAGGGTAGTCTGCTAATACAGAGAGTGGAGACATTTCATTAGCATTAAAGAGAAAAGATTTTTTATGACCTAGAGTTGCTTTCCATTATGACTCACTTAAGTAAAAAGAGAAAAAAATGTAATGGTTAATTTACATATGTAAGTGCTTGAGTCTCAGTCATTCCACTGATTGGTACAGTGCCATGTAATGAGTGACAAACATAAGCATGCATTATCAGTAATTAGTATTAGCACAAAAATAAGCACCTGTTTTTATTAGCAGTCTTTAATAGCTTTCCTGTTTTATAAAAATGGGCAAAACTATTTTTTAAATGATATTGATAGCTTACAGAGGAGAATTTTGCATGATATTCTGCTCATCAGAAACCTTTTTCTTTTTAAATCATATTAGTAAAACATCTATCCAGTGTCCCTAAAAAAGAGATAGGAAGAAATACCATTTTAAAAAATAGCTTTCCTTTTAGTATTCTGATATCTTCAGAATCACTTTTCAGAAACGGTTTAATAAGAAATATAAACATTCGAGGAGGACATAAAGAATACCCTAAAGAAAACATTAGGGAAAACCTGTCCTTTTTGGTTCACAGCTCCGCTCAATCCACTGAGCTACACCAGCCAGGGCAAAAAACCTGTCCTTTTTATTTCAGCAACTAAAACACATAAAAACAACCAGCTAGACAAATTCTCAAACAAAATAATGTACCTAATATTACCACAGGTAAAACTGAAATACTACACTAAGTGAAGACAACCAAGCTAATGAGGAATATGATTTGCAGATACAACCTGAATGCTACCAAAACATAGTCTTAAAAATACCTTAAGTTCAAAAGCATAAAAAAAGGAAGAATAGGCCCTGGCTGGCTGGCTCAGTTGGTTAGAGTTCATCCCAATACAACAAGGTTGTGAGTTCAATCCCCAGTCAGGGCACATACGAGAAGTAACCAATGAATACATAAATAAGTGGAACAATAAAGCAATGTTTCTCTCTTGCTGTTGTGGGCGCTATCTTCTCTCTCTCTCTCTCTCTCTCTCTCTCTCTCTATCTCAATAACACCACCTAAAGACTGATAATAACTAGTTAAAAATCAAGATTACTAATAGGATTCAATTTTAAAAGTGAAGTGGTAATTGTAGATATACTGTCATTAAGATTCAAGTGCCTACAAAATTCTTTTCTAGTAAATCAGTAATGCATTACACTAGGTTTAATAGGCTTAAGAATAATTTTTAGATTCTATCATTAAAAACATCTACTAAAAGTCCATCAAGTCTAGATCTGTACATTTCAAACTATAATAGAAGATATCATATACCAAGGAGAACATATAACACAGCTGTTACTCTTAGTGAATAAGAACACTGATAATGAATTCAAAAGTTACTAGCTGAGTAACCTTGGACAAGTCATTTAATCTCCCTGACCCTTAATTTCCTCATCAATACACAAATGCAGCACTTATAAAATTGTTATGATAAATATAGTAAATCCTCAAGATACGTTAACTATAAAATAGTATGTATGTTAGTACAGTGCCATATTATTTATAGAGAGCTATATAGAATTTTAGCTGTAGATATAATGATATAGAGCATATAAAGTAGTTAAGAACGTAGTCACATAGAAAGTACTAAGTACATAGTAGCTAATATTATACAATGTAAATATACATTTTATTATATACATAATGTGTAAGCAGTCTAGTAAATAAATGGGCATTGCCTCAAGCAGTTCATAAAAGATGGCTTTTAGTTAGTAAGTAAACAAACATCGAAAAATTCCACCATTATTACTTAAAGGAATACATGTTAAAACAATGAGATACCTGTTAAATTAGACAAAAGTGTTAAGATAATTCAGAATGTTGACAGGAAAAAAATGAGGGCTGTTGCTATATATGAGGGAAGGGGGATTTAGTTGGAAGGCTACTTCAATAGTTATCATATGGCACTGGGACTCATTTGTTCATTTCTTCATTCACTCACTATTGTCATTCACTCATTCTCAAACATTCTTCTAGACATTCGAGAAACATCAATTAGCAACATAAAGATTCCTGCCTTCAAGTTTACATTCTTATGGAGAAATATATATCATGAACAATAAACATAACAAGTAAATATATATGTTAGAAGGACATATATGTCACAAAAAAAAAGGAGAGTAAAGGGCATCAGTTGTGCACAAGTGAATAGAAAACTGCAATTTTAAATGGTGTAGAGATAAGCCTTGTTAAGGAGCTGAAAATCTAAAGAAGTAAGAGTTATTCCAATGGGTATCTGGGGAATACTGTTCCATGTTCCGTGCTCAAGGACTATCCAGTGCAAAGACTCTGCATGTTTGTTCTAAATTGTGTGGATATTGTGTGTTGGAGTGCTGGGGCAGCAATATTTTGGGTATCCTTTTACCCTCTTGATTTTTAGAAAAGGGATACACAAGAGATTTGAACTTGTAATAATCCAGTTTTGGTGTGCTGGAGTTGCTTTTCTAAGACCAGCAGAGAACCATCCAGGATATCGAACCTAGGAAACCGAGGCTCTGCCTGCTCAGTGATCACATCAGTCCTTAGAGGACACACTCTGGCCCATATACTCTCACTTTCTCTGGCACTTTTCACCAGTGGGTGAAAATATGGGAAATATATGCAGATAT